TTGTTCACGCAGAAACTCCAGAATTTTTGCTAAATTTTGAAAATTCATAATTAAATCTAGAAAAATGCAAATTGAGTGCTTCCAAGTCTCACTGAAAGCTCCTTAAGTTAAATTTAAAGAAAAAATATTTTCAAGAACCAATTCTATGCTGAACAGTACTGAAATTGTACGGAACTTGAAACTCTTCCAAAAGTTCAACACTGTTTCTAGATTTCAAACCCTAATTTTGAAAAATCATCATAAATCGTACATATATCCAAATAAAGTTTTCTACCCATGGATTTAAAGCTTACAAAGTGTAATTTAAGCATGAAAAATTTTAGAATCAGATACGCATAGTAACTAATTCAAAATAGGTATCAAATTAGATGCTACAGCCACCACATACCTTGATCTTGAAGCTTGAACTTAGGTAGACTTTCTCTCACTAGAAATAGCTCTTTCTCTCTCTAGATGCAAGGGCAGCAGAGTTTCCCCTAGTGTTCATCAGCTTGGCTGAATTGGGGGGGAGAAAAGTGCCTATTTATAGCCAAAAAGTTGGCTTGAATGGACTAAAATGCCCTTGGTAGCTAGAAGGAGGAGTAAGGGCAATTTTGGAAGTTCAAGTGGACTTTTGTATCATCATTGCATCACCTTATTACATCATCCTTGCATCATGCTTCTAGAAGAGGCCACGTGTTGCACAAATGGTGGAGGAGAAGGAAGATTAGATCATAACCATTGGATCTAAACCTAGCCCTTAAGTTTCCTCCTATTTTACTTGGCCCACATTTCTCCGACTTTCTTTATGGCCTTCTAGGGTTTAGAAAATTCTTCTATCTACTCCATAAATTCCCCTTTATTCTAGAAGAGTATCTATGTTCTCAGGCCATAACACTTCCTCTAAGCCTTGTATAAAAATCATTTACTAAAATACCTTTTTATCGGTATAATCTACTCTTTAATTTATTAAAGCCATTCCACTGGCCTTTTGGTTGCGGGACTAATTTTATAAATTAGTATAACCTTTCAACCAATTAATCCTCATTTTTACTTACATTTTTGAGATCTCTTGCTATTTTAAATAATTACCTCAAACAGTGTACTTTTTACTGGCTATAACCTCATAAATTCCATTTAAGCTATCTCAGGGGTATTTTCGTCTTTTCTCTTCATATAAGAGTCTTAGAATATTATTTTCCATTTTTTGGGATTTTTTTGAAATTTTTTGTACACTCTTCCATTTTTGCCCTTGCTGGTCATAACTTTTTGAATTTACAGTTTAGTCCCTGCTTGGACTTAACTTCATATAATCCTCTCTTTGAGGCTTCTAACTTAACCTTTGATCTATATCTAATCTCTTTTCTCTCTCTAGGCCTTTGAGACTTTACTAGAGTCTCTGACCTTGATTATACTGAAGCCCCTGAAAAACTTTTACTTTGCAGTTTAGTCTCTAAAACTACTTTGACTTCCTTTCTCATCTTTGGGACTTTTGCTCAAAAAGGGTATGGTAGCCTATCCAATTCAGGCTACTTTTGATGCTTCTAGGCCCAAAAGTCTTGATGTTACACCATCTAACCTTATTCTGCTGACCGGAACCATAGGCTTATATATGGTCTGGCCTACACACTGGACTACGCCAGTACTTAGGATGTATCTGGCCAAAGATACAAAGCCCAAGCCTAGACTGTGGCTCCCCTCCTTGAAAAAAACTAGGAGGTATCACTGTCCCACATTCCCTCTCTACAAGCCTGGCCAGGTAAGTATTAAGGAACAGGGCCCTAAAAAGGCCAACCACTTTATGCTGAGTGGAGGCAAACCACGTGGTCACAATTTATCACATATATCAGTATCATAAACCCCCAAGTCTAACCGCCTATATATGTCATGAATATGTAGCAAATGCCGTATATGCAAGCATGCTTGAAAGAAAACAATTTACCATAAATTTTCACAAAACAACCAAAACACATTCATGCTTGCAAGAGAATTCAAATAGCACATAAGATAATATTATTATATCCTGTCACTTTTTTAGTCTTATTTATTTATTTGTACCAATTAAGTCGATAGAGTCAATACAAATTTAATCATAATGGATAAAGATTGCACACACATGGAAAAACCCCAAGTTACTTGGTTTTTTCTAGCTCTCAATAATCACAATAATAATTCCAATCAAGAAGGCTCTCGAAGAGAGTCTACAAAGTCAACATAATGAAATATTAATTTACAATTTTAGACAAAAAATTATATCCTATACTTATTTTAATGCTACATGAAAGTTACTCTAAAACTTCAAAGTTATCCTAGAGCCCACAACACATATTACTGATTTCTTCTAATTAACTTTTCATAAGTACTATTAAAATTTTACATTTCATAATAACTTATATGAAATCCTTACTATATGTAAAGTTCAAGAATATTTAGCCTTCATCCCACTAACCATTTGTAAATTACTATATATATTGCTGAATGTATTATAGATATATACATGCCTATATATAAAGGGTAGAGTACCGAATGTCTTACACACACAAGTCTTATATATACACACATGCCTATATACACACACACATGCCTACATATATACACACGCCCATTATTAGAAGGGAGAAGTACCAAAAAGGGTGATGATATAAAGGGTATATATATATATTCCTATTTCCATCCAGCATATACATAAATATATATACATATAGTCATACCAAGAGGCAGAAAAATCTGAAAAGAAAACACATGATACAAGGAAGAGGATGAGGGAGGGGGAAAAAATCAATGAAGAAAGAAATATTAAGTTTAAAACAATAGTCAATGGTGTCAAACCATTCTCATCCTTTTTCCTATTAATGTATATGTGGGTATATTCATGAATAATAGTTGTTAAATGTGAGAAAGAAGAGAGAGATGAAAAAGGAAAAGAAAAGTCGATACACACCTTAATAAATATATGTAGGCTTGGAGATGATGATTACAAGAAGGCTTACGGTGGACTTGAATATATTTTGATTTATGAGGACGGAATGTTTATAGTAGAAGAAGGAGTAGTGCTTTCTGAAAAATCATTAGTCTACAGTAGTGAAAAAGCTAAAGAAGAAATTGAGTGGCGACTAAATGATGAAGAATGAGTGGGTAGGAAGCAGGGTTAAGTTATTATATTTTTAAAATTAATAAATCTTCATTTAATTAATTAATTATTTTATCTTATTGTTTTTATTATTGAAATCTCATTATAACCGACTTATATGAAATCTCCCAGAATCATTTAAAGGTTTTTTTTTAAAGTTAAACTCAAATCTTTTTTTTATATATATAATTATAAATATATATTTTATTAAAATTCATATAACAGATTCAAAATTTGAATTTCAATCTATTTCATATTATTATTATTATTATGATCATCATCATCCATCGCCATTTTTTTTCTACTTTTATTTTTAAATACCTATACACTTATTTACAATTTTGTTTTGTATTATTTGACTCTCTTTTAAATATCTCATTTTCTTGAATTTTTTATTTTATATATATTTATCAAAGATTTAATCCAAACTTTCTATAAATAACTACTTATAAACACAAATAAAATTTAGGGATGTTAAAGGTATTCTTTTCTATTCAGACAAAAGTTGAAAAGGGCATAGATGAGATTGTAGTGGTGACTGAATTTCTGGATGTGTTTCCAGAGGAGATAACGGGTTTGCCTCTAGTCTTGCACCCGAAATGGAGCCTATCTCCAAAACTCTTTATCGAATGTCTCCATTAGAATTAGTAGAGCTGAAGAAACAAATTGAGAAGTTGCTAGAAAAAAGCTTTATTAGGTCGAGTTTGTCCTCTTGGGATTCATCTGTGCTCCTTAAGCATATGCTATGTTATATTTTTAATTGTTATGACTATAAGACTTTTATTTTGTTATGTCAAAAAAAAATATTTTGATATTATGACCTGTTTTGAGTGCCAAAACATGTATGGATTTTTAAATAAAGTATTTCTATCACATTTATAGATATAATTATGTGAGATGTTACAAGCCGAGTCACCCAATATCAGTAATATCCCAAGTATTACTTATAATCTTGGTATGTTATTAGATAAAAATGAGAAAATGTGAATATCCATTTTAACAAGTGTTCATTTTTATTACTCCAATAAATTTTTGCATTTTATAATTTAGTGGGTTTAATGACTTGATAGCCATAATTTTTCTGGTGAGTCCTTAGCTACCTTTGAAATTTATTATCCTTAGAAAATGAGGTTTTGTCGTTTCTCATTAATTTACTTATAAATTTCTGTATGAGCCATGCAAATTAGGATTTATAACTTTTGATATAAACACTTATGATTTTGTTAGTGTAAGCTGTTAAAATGCTTATGTATATGCATATATTTATCTATGAAGACTGACATTAGGCCTCTCTTCTTCTTGTTTTTTTTTTTTGGCCAGATTTTCTATCAGATCTCTTGGCATGTAAATTAGGAACCGAGGCATGTTTTATATTAATGTTTGGATTATATAATTAAATAGGCGGGGTGATTTGTTGGTCATAAATTTTTCGTCAGGTTGATTTCTTTCTAAGAAGAATGAAAGAAGAACATTTTGGTATTTTTTTTAATCCGAACATAATTTTTTTTACGCTTGATTTAATTAAAATTTCAGAGTTTTTTTAGACTAAAAATTTCAGGATTTATTTTGGAAGGGTCTTTTTTTAGACCAAAAATTTCAGGATTATTTTTTGGAACTATTAGAAATTAGAAATTATATTAATTATGTGAAACTTTTGGGGGTGTTTCGGATAACTTAAAAATGCTTCTGGAAAACACATTTCTGTAAATTGAGATAAATTTTTTCACATATTTATTTCGTATACTATAAAAACATTTTTAAAACTAAGATTTTATTTTAATCTAAGTATTTTTTTTTTTTTTACTGAAGTTCTCCCTAAATAATTCTGGGTTCTAGGTTTTTAAATTTATCGTCCCCTCGTCTTTCGCTTCATGGTGCTCCCCGTTCGCTAGGCTAGTCTCCCTAGAACAACCTCACGGCAGCATCCCCCCTTCGGTTCTCGGTCCTTGGAGCCAAAACCCCTTTGGATCTAATCCTTCATGTAGGTCGCCGAAACTTGTATTACTTTTTCTCCTTACATCCTCCCCTGCATCATTAATTTATGCATTTTTGTTTCTTGGTGGGTTGTGTATTTGGATTCTGTAGTTTTATCTTTATATGTACAATTTCCTCGTTTCCTATGCTATCTGTCTTGGCGTCAATTTTGTCTGCTAAGATTGAATTTTTTGATGTCTAGAATGGGCGTTGGCCGTGAAGTTTCCATCTCACTCGATGGCGTAAGGGACAAGAACATAATGCAACTCCGGAAGCTCAATATAGCTCTTTTCCCTGTTCGATACAATGACAAATACTATGCCGATGCCCTTGCTTCTGGCGAATTTACGAAACTAGGTTCGATTTTCGGTGGCTGTGCTTCTTTGTTTTATTGTTCTATAATATTCAGGATATAATGAGATGTTCGTGTAAATAATTTCTTTAGTTTGCAGCTTCTTGTCCCCCCCCCCCCCGACTTTGCTCAGTGTTGTCCTGTAATCTTTCATTGTTGTTGTTTTAGCATTTGGCCTTTACTTTGACTTTAATCCCCTTAAACTTTATATATTATTTCCCTTGTCTAGTATTTGATTTGTTTTTGTTTATTTGTCTTTCGCTTTTTCCTGCTTCTGGGGAATGAAATAGGAATGCTGTCAGTGGTTTTTGGTTCAGATTTTAGAATTTTACTGCATAGAAAAATGCTGGTGTGAAAGTCTAAGAATTCTTCTTGGAAGCCAGTAGAACTATTGAGTGCCTCCATTTAGAATTAAAATAATTCTGTTAGTTTACTTATTAAGTCTGCTTATGATTATGATGAGTGGGAAATTATTGGAAGGGTGGTAAGCTAATAATCAATGGAAAAAATAAAACATTTAGTTTTATATGCTGGTGAATGTATCCTTAGTAGCATTTTGCTTTTATTTGATACTGAGCCAAGAGTGTACTGCATCTTTGCTGAATTTTGTTATCTTGATGTGAAAAGGCAGAACTTTGGTGTTAACACTTTTTTTAACCATTTTAATTTATTTGCGAGGAGAAGTTTCTATATGTGCCAAATTGCAGCAATCCACTTGTAATCATTGCTTTTGGTCTTATGTGAATCTTGGGCTCTCCCAAAAGTTAGTTATTGGGATCATAGTCTTGCCTTCCGTTACTTCTTAGTTGCAGTTGGGAAACATGGTGGTAACAGCAGTATTGCAGGCTAGAAAGTTAGCCAGTGTTCATGGGTGCCAAGTGTGTAGATTGTGGTGGAATTTTAGAATCCTATTGAAGGTACTAGTGTTCTGCATCAGAAGTATGGGATTCAGATTTGGGATTTGTACGAACTTTCAGCTCTTTGACCTTATGGACTGGCTTTTGGGATATGGATTTTAAAAGGGATGCCTGGGTTTTGCACAAATATTTCTATCATCTGGTAGATTTTTCCACAATATTCTAGTTGAAAGTTTATGGCATAGAAGTTGATCCTAGTATTGTAATAATCACCCAAAGCTTTTGTTAGAACAGGAGCTATGAAGTGTGGAATATTAGGGACCCAAATGCAACATATGTGACTTGAGTGAGTCCCACATCAAGTATGAGATTTGGATATGAGGCTGGTAAGTGTGGTGTAGAAGGAAAGATGAAAAGAAAGAGAGAGATCGGAGAATGAGAGAGAGAGAGAGAGACTGAAATTCCTCTGTATATTCAAAATAAGTGTAAGGAAAACAATCTGTTTACCCTCCTTATATAGTCATGGTTAACAGCTATTTCTAATTAAACCCCCCCTTCCAATTACTTGGCTACCCCAATTGTCATTCATCTTATATTTACAATGACATATCAATTCACCCTCTCCCAAAATATTTCTCGCCCTCAACAGTCTGGAAACCTGAACGTTGGGTGCTGTTGTTAAAGCTGAAACAAAGAAATCCAACTTGCTTCTTCATGAGGAGGACCTTTCCACTGAACCAGTACCTCTGTCGCCATCCTCCGTCTTTTTCTCCCTATTCTTTTGTTTAAAATCTTCTCTGGTTCTAAATTGGAAGGTGGATCTGGTCAGTTAATGGGAGGATGACGCTGCTTTGCTGCTGAGTCAGGAGAGGTTAAGTAAATATTCCCACTTCCTATCCCTTTCTCATACATTTTCAGCCTCTACATTATCATCTTAGCATTTTTTGGAATGGACCTAAAAATTACATGGTTCTCTAGGAGAAACTATGGTTGGAATTTCATATGGAATGAATTGTTTGTCTTTGGAACATCCACAATGGTTTTCTCCTACTTATGTAACTTTTCATCCATTAACAAAATACTTCAGCAATTGTTAAAATTGACTATTATTCTGGTTTCTTTCAGCTTACTATAGTGACATATGTGTTGGTGCAATAGCATGCCGGCTAGAGAAGAAGGATGGTGGGGCAGTTCGGGTTTACATCATGACTTTAGGTGTGCTTGCACCTTATCGTGGACATGGCATTGGTAAGCAACTTGAAATTCTTTCTGAAGTGGCATCTGATGTTTGAAGTGATCTTTCTGTCTAGTATTCTCTCATGCGTCCTCACTTGCCAAAGTATAATTCCAAAGTTAAAGTTAAGATTTTAGCTTCATATAATTTACAATTCGATTTTCATTGGACTGTAGCCTGTGTTGAAAAATATCAATTCCACTTAACTTTTGTTGTATTTTGAATACTGTTTGAGATATGAATTGTGTTTTATGCAGGGACAAGGCTGCTGAATCATGTTCTTGATCTTTGTTCCAAGCAAAATATTTCAGAGGTCTACTTGCATGTGCAGACCAACAATGATGAGGCTATAAACTTTTATAAAAGATTCGGGTTTGAAATCACAGAAACTATTCAGAACTATTATACAAACATCACACCTCCAGACTGCTATGTTGTCACCAAGCTAATCGCTTCAAGCTCAACAAAGAAATAACAGTTCAGCCTTCAGATCCAATTATTTTGGAGGAAGTCATTAAACATGATTGCATTATTTATGATACTTCTCCATGCATGTATCCTACTAGAGTTTTATAATTTCTGTTTCTAGATGATAAATCGTTGAGTTAGCACAAATGAGAAGCATTGGGAGATCTTAATGGGAGATAAGCCACTATTGCGTGGTGTTATTCCTGCCCCCTACCTGCCTCCCCCCCCCCCCCCCAAAATCATGTATAACGTGTACCAGAGTTTCTTGCACCTTGGAAGTTTTCATGGTGAGTTGAGGCCATTAATTGCATTTGGAAAATGAAAAAAAAAAAGAATTTTCTTACCCTTTTTACCACCTGCAGCAGCTATGTGTATTCGCAGTTTGGCTGGTATTGGTAAGGTCAGATTGAGAACACGAGAAAGTGGAAGGAAAAATTTTAGTTTAATATATATATTTTTTGATTGGCATCCAATGAATAAGGGAGGAAACCATATAATTGACGTACATCTTAAATTAAGGACAATGCCAAAATTCAAAGTTCGCTTCTCTTTCCTTCAACCAATGTGAAGGAAAATCGATGCATGTGTTTTAAAATGTAGGGTATATATTTTAATGTGGTTAATAATTCATTGAAGGTCTAGGAGTGAAGATTAAAGTTTTATTTAAAAAATTTGTTTAGTAATTTGTTTTTAGTTGATTGTTGTAAAAAGCAAAAAATAGTAACATGTTTTTAAATATTAAAAAAATCAAAACAATTTTTACATATTTACTTGTTTTTGTTGTGTTTTTTATTTTTTGTTTTGAAAAATTTTGAGAAATTTTTTTTCTTCTCACATACAATTCACCATTTATCAATAACCATAGCTATTACCTGCCAAGTGTAATTTTCTATAATTCTTTTTCAAACAGAATTTTTTAAAATTATTACCCCAATAATTTTTTTTTGTTTTTTTGGTTTTCAAAGCTTGTTCTAAGAAACAATTGGATAAAATTGTTTTGAGAACAAGACAACAAAGAACAAAAACAAACAGTCCCTAAGTGTGAAGTGCCAATGAAACCACCAAACATGTTTACAAAACAAGGGAGAGTTTCTTCTTGTTTCCCCCCCCTTTTGGTAGAAGGGGAAAGTTATTTTAATATGAAGCCTTCACTTTAATCTTTGTAGCATATTTCCTGAACTTAAAGGCGCCAAAGCCATTGTTAGTGGTCTGTTTGCTTCTATGCTTTATTACATTGGAAGAGAAATATGATTGGCTAGTAGATGAAGCTGAAGCATAGGGATGAAAAATAAAACGCCTGGCGAATTATTTTGTTAGGGATAACACAATTTTTTTATATTACTTTTTTATTTAGATTTTAATTTCATTTATCAAATAAAAATGTTACATCGCCAATCTTGTTTTAAGAAGCCATGGAGCAGAAGTTGAAACAAGGTCTTATTTATTCCTAGAGGAAATAATATAGATAGAGAAAGGAAACGTACTAGGTCAGTTCCAGGTTGTGATGCTGGTAGCTCACGTAGTATCCTGACTACTAGAGTCTTGATAGAATGGCACAACAGATGCACTAAAAAGAGGAGAAGAGAACACAGAAAAGCTCAACAGTTGGGGTGAAGAGAATGGGTAGAGGCACCTCCTATTTGTAGGGCCAGGGTGGCCCTTATTTGAGGAGGGTGCAATCTCCCTCATTTATTGTGGGATAATATTCCGATTCCATAATCAACAATTAATGTCTGATTGTTTTCTCTCTAATCAATCAAGTACTTAATGTTTGATTGAATATTCTCTAATCAATCATTAATTGCTTCTGATTTGTGCTTGATTTTCTTCATCTAAGAGATTCTCTTCTCTTGGATCAAGTAGTCCGGCCCATCAAGGGTAGACTCGGGCCCAATGTCTAACATCTCCCACTCGCACTTGATGGGTCGACCATCATGTGATTCTCCTTCTCATTTCATACTTGGTGCTTTACCATGACTGTGTGGGCACGACGTCTTCTACTTTGGATGCTTGTTCACTAGAAACTCCTGAGATGAGCCAATGCACAAGGACATCTTAGATATGTTTAGATGTTGCATCAAATGGCCTAGATTTATCCTTACACTTTTCTCATGGCATGTCTAATCCCTCTTGAGTCAGGTGTCTAACTTAGATCACCCACTTGTATGCGTAGCATCCACACTTGTGAGCTACTCAAGATGAGCTCACAAGGGACATGTCACAGACACCAGCATAATTGTGTAATTCAAGATTAATTTTCCTTCTGACTAGTCATCATTCAGGTATAACTTCATTGCTTTTCTGGCATTTAGCCTATTAGACTGGATCTCTCATTATCATAGTGTGCAAGCCAAGGCAGCCAGCACTAGGTTATCTCTTCATAACATTGTCTAAGTCTTAAGGGCATCATGATAGGTTTGTTCCTTTCAAGGACTCATACTAAAGTGGTACAAGGGATCTTCCCACTCGCATGCCAGTTGTAGTTGATGGAAGCACGTGCATTATGAATTGCATGTCATGATGTTTGTCTTAATATGTTAAGAGCGCGTGTTGTTTTTATTTGTTAACATTGTGCGGACTTTAGTTCTAGGCATACTTAGTACCTAAACCAGAACTCTTTGCTTGACAAATAATGTCATCTTCCAAGATGAGTTCTCTATCTAGCCACAGGCTCCACAAACTGTACAGATGTTCATGATTCAACCTATTTTATGTATAGGTCTCATCTCAAGCTCACTTCAGGCGACATGTGTGTGGTGATACTTCTTAACCATTCCATGGCTCTTGCTACATGGCTGGAGATCACGTAATGTCTCATCTTCTGTGTTCCTCGTGAACGTTTGAAGGCGATTTCTTGTGTGAGAGAGTCAACCTTATCCTGTATAACACTACAAGTTTTGTACACCATTGAATGATTTGGAAAAAGAAAATGCATAACTTTATTGAATGAAAGAAAGGTTCAACACATCAAGTTCTATACATGCCCATAGCCTTTACATGTTTAACGAAGGGGTCTCTTGCTATGGGCTTTGTAAGGGAATTAGCTAACATCTTTTGAGTGAAAATGTATTGAACTGTGACTTGCATTTTAGCAATCATATCTCTTACAAAATGATACTTAATGTCTATGTGTTTGGTCCTACTGTGATATTTTGGATCCTTAGTATCATAAGCTATTGCTACTTGGCTATCACAGTGTCACTACTACAATGAAGACTTTTTACTTTTGTTTTGGATGACTTTTTACCTCTGTTTTGGGTGGGACATGAAAAGAAGGGACATAAAAAGTACCCTACTTTTTACTTCTGTTCTAAACAGAGGTGAATAATGGTATTATTTACGTCTGTTTTGAATAGAAGTAAAAAATCACGTTTTTACTTCTGTTTTTCCAAAACAGACGTAAATTTACTTCTGTTTTTTTCCAAAACAATGTAAATTTACGTCTATTCGAAAAACAAAGTAAAACATGAACTTCTGTTCTAAATTTTTAACCTGTTTTATCATGAACCCATTTTTTTTTTAAAAATTCAAAATTCATTTCCTAAATACCACTTCCCATACAACCATAATAGCCATAATAGCCACTTTCCATCAAGTTGAAACAGTCTAAACCAGTCAATTTTTTCAGCCAAGACATATCAAGAGCATAATTGCATCAATATATTGACACATGAACTAACTAGTCAAAAAGAAGAACAAATTGCAGAAGTCAAAATTTATAACCTATTATCTCTAAACATAAACTTGATCAATCCCTAGATTACCATTTTTGAAGCAGTTGCTGTGCCAAAAGGTCTCTGATGAAGTCAATATCATCAACAGTATCTGAGCACTCATTATAAAAAAAATCTGTAAATTGACAAGTAAACAAATTTAAACATATAAAGAAAATAAAATAAGTAACAATTCAATTTAAAAATTCAAAACTACTACAAAACTAAAATTATATTTACTTACCTCATCAAATTTTGTAGTGCATCCACTCTCAATAATTTCAAACATGTAATGAATAATGTAATATCCGTACTCTGTTGACCCTCGTTGCTTAGCACACTGCAAATCACAAGGAAATGATAATCCAAATTCATATATAAAATAACTATTATCAATAAAAGAACTTCAATTCAAAGTACTCACACTAGGATAGACACAAGTTATTGCGCCATTTTTGCCAGAACGCTTCCCACCAGTTATATAATAAGTCTTTAAAGCCCTATAAGCAAATAAAAGCACAAGTTAAATAATTTATAGTGAAAATGAAATTATTGATGTACATTAAGGTACTTACGTGTTGAAAACGCCCCTCATCTTAGTGCTTGGATCATGACCCAAGGGATCAAACCAGTAGATGACATTGTCGATGGGACAAGAAACACACAAACTCCAATAATGACTGCATCATAGAGTAAGATTTATACATTACTGGATATCACAATAATTCTTAGCAATTTAAGTATGTATAAATAAATATAATTAAGCTACTTACCCTTCAATAATTGGTGCCAAATAACAAGGTAATTTGGTGTCTCTAATCATATTGCCCACATATCTAATTCTCCTATCTAGTGGGTTGCACTTCTTCTGAACACTTGCAGGGTATAAATATCCATACAAATTTCTCTTCTCTATTGATGACATGCATTTGTCATGGAAGAAGATATCATTGAATTGAAATAAGGTAATTATTAGTAACTATGTGCAAAGTAAGAAATTAGAAGTTTAAGTTAGAAATGAAAAAATAAACTTACATGATTGCTAATTGAACCCATGCTATGTCTAACTCCTTCATAGATAAGAACTCCTTGCTATCTTTGTTCTCAAGTCCAAAGAAATATGATTTTTCTTCACCCACAATCCCTATAGGCATCTTTATGTTAACCTTGTTAATTGTTTTATATTCCTCATATAATTGTGCCAAGCAGGGATATCTATTAACATCTTTATGGTCCTAATGAAACATCAGATAAACATAATAAGTATTATGATAAAAAAAATTCACACAATATACCATGATATTTTCTTACCATCACAGGTATTATCTCCTCATCAACAAGGTGTCTAGGCCAAAGAATGAAAGTTCCAATTGCCTGAACTAATTTCACAACTCTAGCAGTCAATAATGGCATATCCGCACCTGCCTCTCCATCTCGATTAGCCGTAACTGTAACCCTCACTTGGTCCTCTTCAATTTGTTAGTGATGGATGGTGCTCCCTTGATTGTAGAGGAGAGCATCGGCAACAACACACATCTTTAGGACCTCTAAACGAAGACAACAAGGTTGTCCAACATTCAGTATGGGACTACTAGGATCATGCTCTCCCAGTGCCCCTAGTGGATTACAA